TTAGAGACTACTCAAAGAAAATTTCTTGGCTGCACGGTCGCACGGCCGTGCATCCCTAACCCCTCTTCTGTCTCTGTGGAGCACTACAGGGCGATAGAATATGCATTCTGCCTCATGCTCGTGCACACTGCTATCCCTGCAAAACAGAAAATTCGTATCCACAAAAATTCTTTCTTTTTTTTAATTCTTTAAAAAAAAACACAAAAACCAAAGAAACACAAGAAATAGAAGATTAGAAACTTGGGTTGCCTCCCAAGAAGCATTTGCTTTATAGTTCGCAGCCGAACTCTTCCCATGCTTCTAAGTATGTGGAACCAAGGCGATGAAAGATGCTTGGGCATTGAAACCTCCTCCATAGTAATACTTGAGCCTATGACTGAAAGTCTCCTCCTTCTCATTAGTAATCTCAACGGCTCCAAAAGGGAATACTTTGGTGATGGTGTAAGGACCAGTCCATCTAGATTTCAACTTACCTGGAAACAAACGAAGACGGGAGTTATATAATAAAACTTTTTCACCTACAAGAAACTCCTTCCTTAAGATGTGTTGATCGTGTTGATCATGCCATCTCTTTGTTTTCTCTTTGTAAATTCTTGCACTTTCGTATGCATCATTGCGCATCTCTTCCAACTCATCCAACTGAAGTAATCTTTTCTCACCTATTGCCTGCATATCAAAGTTAATTTTCTGCAAAGCCCAATATGCTTTATGTTCTAACTCAACAGGTAGATGACATGCTTTACCATACAAAAGTCGAAAAGGTGACATACCAATAGGAGTTTTGAAAGCAGTTCTATAAGCCCACAAAGCATCATCAAATCTTCTTGCCTAATCCTTCCTATTAGTGTTCACAGTCTTTTCCAAGATTCTCTTTATCTCCCTATTAGATATCTCAGTTTGACCACTAGTTTGGAGATGATAAGATATAGGTACCTTATGAGTGACTCCATATTTATACAAAAGTGACTCAAATTGTTTATTCATGAAGTGTGTGCCTTGGTCACTTATAATAGCCTTAGGTGTACCAAACCGAGTAAAGATGTGCTTCTTCAAAAAATTACAAACAACCCTAGCATCATTAGACTGCAAAGCCACGGCCTCTACCCATTTAGACACATACTCACAAGCAACCAATACGTAAGTGTTACCGAAAGAAGGTGGAAACGGACCCATGAAGTCAATGCCCCAAACATCAAATAATTCACACACCATAATAATGTTTAAGGGCATCTTATGCCCTCTAGATATGTTCCCAGTCCTTTGACACCTATCACAATGAGAAACATAAGCATATGCATCTTTAAAAAGAGTAGGCTAATAAAATCCACATTGTAAAACCTTAGCAGCAGTCTTGGTGGCACCATAGTGACCACCCGCCTCTCCATCATGAAAATGAAAAAGAATGTTAGGGATTTCTTCATTAGCAACACAACGTCTAATAATTCGGCCATCACATACCTTAAACAAATAAGGATCCTCCCAAAAGTAGTGTTTAACATCGGAGAGAAACTTCTTCCTTTGTTGATAATTCAAGTTAGGGGAGAGGATGTCACTTACCAAATAATTCACAATATCTGCATACCATGGAGTTTCGATTTTCAAGGAAAAGAGTGCTTCATCGGGAAAATCATCCAAGATTGGTACCTCATCACTAGGGGCATTCGGCAACCTAGATAGGTGATCGGCCAGAAGGTTCTCGGTCCCTTTCTTGTCCTTGATCTCTAAATCAAACTCTTGAAGCAACAAGATCCAACGAATCAACCTTGGTTTCGCATCTCTCTTTGCCAACAAGTACTTTAAAGCTGCATGATCAGTATAGACAATCACTTTAGAGCCGATCAAATAGAATGGAATTTATCAAAAGCAAAAACAATTGCTAGAAGCTCATTTTCAGTGGTGGCATAATTCAATTGAGCTCCATTAAGGGTTCGGCTAGCATAATGTATGGCTCGAAAAATCCCATCCTTCTTTTGACCAAGCATGGCTCCAATGGCATAATCGCTAGCATCGCACATCAACTCGAAAGGCAAACTCCAATCTGGTGGCGTCATTATAGGAGTCGAAATTAGCTTCTCCTTCAAGGTCTAAAATGCCTACAAATACTCAGAGTTAAAATCAAACGCAGCATCTTTTTCAAACAATATTATGAGTGGTCTTGCAATCTTGGAGAAGTCCCTTGTGAATCACCTATAAAACCATGCATGTCCTAAAAGTCCTCGAAGTAATTTCACAGAAATAGGGGGTGGTAATTTGGAGATAATTTCAATTTTGGCTTTTTCCACTTCCATACCCCTAGCAAAGATTTTATGGCCTAACACTATCCCTTACTGCAGCATAAAATGACACTTCTCCCAATTTAGCACAAGGTTAGTCTCTTCGTATCTTTGTAACACCAAAGCTAAATTATGCAAGTATGAATCAAAAGATGTGCCAAAAACAGAGAAATCATCCATGAAAATCTTAATGCATTTTTCTATCATGTCAGAAAAAATAGCCATCATGCATCTTTGAAAAGTAACAGGTGCATTACAAAGACCAAAAGGCATTCTTCTATATGCAAATGTACTATAGGGACAAGTGAATATAGTCTTTTCTTGATCATCAGGTGCAATAAGGATTTCGTTATACTTTGAATATCTATCCAAAAAATAATAATACTCACGCCCAACAAGTTTTTTTAACATTTGATCAACGAAAGGTAAAGGAAAGTGATCCTTACAAGTGGCATTATTCAATTTTCTATAATCCATGCAAACTCGCCAACCCGTAACCGTTCTAGTTGGAAATAATTTATTATATTCATTGGTTAGAACAATCATACCTCCCTTTTTCGGCACTACTTGCACGGGACTCACCCAATCACTATCAGAAATTGGATAGATAATACCTGCATCGAGTAGCTTAATCACTTCGGCTTTCACAACTTTTTGCATTTTCGGATTGAGCCTCCTTTGTGGCTGGATGACCGGTTTGTGTTGTTCCTTCATCAAAATTTTTTGCATGTAATAGAGGGGCTTATTCCCTTTATATCCGCAATGATCCACGAAATCGCACTCTTGTGCTCTCTGAGCACTCTAAGTAACTTCTCCTCCATCACCCCTGTCAAAGAAGAAGAAATAATCGCTAGGTAAGAAACACCATCAAGGAAAGGTATATTTTAAATGAGAAGGCAAGGGTTTAAGCTCAAGAGTTGGTGGTTCTTCAATGGAGGGTTTCGGCTTCTTTGCACTTGACTCCAACTCTTCAAATTTTGGTACTTCTATCTCGGGTTTGGTGGACTTGCTTCTAAAAACTCCATAGCCTCCCAAATTTCTTCATTTTCGGCCTTTTCCTTTGGCTGAACCAAATATGCCTCTATAGGATCTTGAATTTCGGTTAATTTAAATAGGGTCTCCACTTCCCTATCTAGGGTGTCCATCCTCAAGCAATCACTCAGTCCCTCGAGGTTTTTCATGGCCTTGAAGACATTGAAGGTGACTCGATCTTCTCCCACTCTAAGGATCAATTTTCCTTGTTGTACATCAATGAGCGCTCTTCCCGTGGCTAGGAATGGTCGGCCCAAAATGATAGAAACTTCATAATCCTCCTCCATCTTTAACACAACAAAATTCGTCGGGAAGATAAATTTATCCACCTTCACTAAAATATCCTCTACCACGCCTTTTGGATATTTGATAGATCTATCTGCCAATTGTAGAGACACGGTGGTTGCCTTTACTTCCCCCATACCTAGTTTCACAAACACCGAATAAGGCATTAGGTTTATACTAGCACCAAGATCACATAAAGCTTTATTAAAGTAAGTACCACCAATATTGCATGGAATAGTAAAACTCTTTAGATCTTTTAATTTTGGTGGTAGCTTATTTTGAAGGATGGCCGAACATTCCTCATTCAACTTCACGGTCTCATACTCCTCTAACTTCCTCTTGTTAGCTAGGATCTCCTTCAAAAACTTGGCATAACTTGGCATTTGAGTTAGAGCATCTACAAAAGGAATGTTAATGTGCAATTGTTTAAGATAATCTAAAAATTTTGAAAATTACTTATCTTGCTTGTGTTTAGCTAGCCTCTCCGGAAAAGGAATAGGTGGAACATATGGCATTAGAGATTGCTTGCTCTTTAGTGGCTTATCCTTGTGTTCGGTCTTGGTTTTTACTTCTTACTTAGGTTTGGCCCTTTTCTCTTTTATTACATCCTCATCTTGATTTTGCTTTCCAACTTTTTTTCCACTTCTCAATGTAATTACCTTTGCATTCTCTATGGGGTTCCTCTCAGTATTGCTTCGCAATGCACCATTTTGTCTCTCATTAATTCTTTGAGCTAGTTATCCCACTTGTTTCTCTATGTTTCGAATTGATGCTTTTTGACTGTGGAGTTTTACATCGGTGCTTCTCATGAAATCTTGAGTGGTTTGAGCTTGTTTTTCCACGGCTTGGGCTTGCCTTTCCACGGTTTGGGCTAGTTTGGCAACCAAATCCTCCAAGTTGGAATTCGGCTTCTCCATGGGTGGTGCTGGTGCTCTCGGTCCTTGTTGATTTTGACCTCCCCGAGATAGATTAGGGTGATTCCTCCATCCCAGATTATAAGTGTTGGAATAAGGATTGTTTTGAGGACCCCTGTTAAAATTTGAAACAAAGTTAGCATGTTCAGAAGAACTAGCATAAGGGTTACTTACTTGACAATCAGTGCTAATATAATTTCCACCACAAAATTCACAAGATACTCCTTGAGTTTTCAAAGAAGCAATCATTGTGCTCAATGCATCAAGTTTTACATTCAAAGCCGTATTAGTGTCAACTTCATGAACTCCACTTGGCCTCCGGGCTTGGTATCTCTCAATTGGCCATTAGTAGCTATTGCTTGCCATCTCCTCAAGTAGATTAACAGCTTCTTTGGGTGACTTGTTTTGCAAAGTGCCTCTGGCTGCCGCATCTAGACTAGCCCGAATGGTGGGATGTGCTCCATTATAGAATGTGTGCACTTGCATCCAAATTGGCAGTCCATGGTGCAGGCATCTCCTTAGCAGCTCCTTAAACCTCTCTCATGCTTCATAAAATCGCCCACCATCTATCTGCATAAATGTAGTAATATCGTTACACATTTTGGCAGATTTTGCAGGAGGAAAATACTTAGGAATTTTTTAGCCAAGTTCTCCCAAGTAGTGATAGAGCTTGCAGGAAAAGAAGTCAACCAAGTCTTAGCTTTATCACGAAGAGAAAATTGGAACAATCTTAACTTAATGGCATCACCAGTAACGCCATTGAATTTAACAGTGTCACAAATTTCAAGGAATGCTTCTAACTGCAGATTTGGATCATCATTAGGTGATCCACTGAATTGCCTTGCATTTTGAAACATTTGAATTAAGGATGACTTGATCTCAAAATTGTTGGCTTGCACCTCCGGCCTCCTTATACTTGATTGTGCTCCTTGAATTATTGGTGCAGCATAATCTTTCAAAGTCCTCCTTGGAGCTGCGACTTCTCGAGCTTCAACCATTGCAATGGGGATTGCTTGTGCTTGCTCTCTTCTTCTCCTAAAATAGGTTCTTTCAATCTCGGGATCAAACTCTTCAAGGTCTCCTTTTTGGCTTCGGGTCATGCAATGCTCCTCCCACCTTTTATAGAGAGGTGAGTTTGGCTTGCAAAAGAAACAAATTAAAAACAAAATAAACGCTAGTCTAAATCAAGAATCGCTAGATATCAATAGTAATTGGAAAAATATCAGAGCAATCCCCGGCAACGGCGCCAAAAACTTGTTAGGTGAATTGCAAGCTCATAATAGCTACAAGTAATAAAGTGATGAGCGAGTATTGTTTCCACGAGGATTGTCTCTAATTATCCAATTACTTACCGAAGGTGATCAATCCAATGAACTAGCTAACCAAGTCGAAAAAGCAAGTAAAAAGTGAACTAAACCAATTAAAGGACTGCAATACAAAAGAGTCGAAGCTTAAATGATTCAAAAGCTAATTAAAATTGCAAAGTAGACCTAATCCAAAGCAAACCGAAGATTAACAAGGCAAATTATCAAGATTTTAACCAAGATCACAAAGCGTTAGAGCATCCAAGTTCACTTAACCACTCATAATCAATTTTCGTAACTTGTCATGCAACAAATTAATTTCCAATTGTGTTGGTGAAATTTCCCTAAGTTAGATTACAAGCCTACCTCGGTCTAATAGTCCCTAATTAGGTATGTTAACCCACACTAACTTTAGGTGAATTTAAACTACCTAAAAGCATTAGTTCTTGTGGAAATTCCAGGATTTAATCTAAGTAGTCACAACCTAGATCTGCTACCACAACCACATAAACAACCTAGTGTACTTTGACCTAGATTTAATTTATGGTTCAATATCACTAGTGCACATGCATGCAATCTCCACCCGGTATAATGCATACATCAAAAATCATTTAAAAGTTGGCCAAACTTCTAAAAGCATTAAGATCATGATAGAGAACGACACAATCAGAACAACTATATTGCATGAGCAAGTCTTGATAATCAATCAATCATGGTTAAGATCCATTATAGCTCTAACAAAAGAAATTTAGAACATAGTTAAAGCTAACTAACAACAAAAATTAAAGAGAACACAATGCTAAATTAAAATAATTCACCAAGTTGAGTCACAAAGAGATTCAAGTTTGTCTCCTCCTTCTCTCTTTGACATGCGCCAACTACACTAACAAAATAAAAGAATAAAAGCTAACTAAGAAAACCTAAAATCTTCCTTAGAGGTGGCAACTCCTCCTGATACTGAAATATGCTTCACAAGAGGGGTTTATTTTGCCTCCAAAAATCTGCCCTAGGTCAGCCCCCATTAGATCTTGAATAAGATTCCTCGCCAAATTAAGAAGTTTCCTTCTTAAGATTCCTATTCTTGATTTTCTTTGAACCTAGCCTCAATCATGGTTAAATCCTCCAAATTTCTGGTCTTGATTGGCTTTTTCTTCCAGAGAAAATATTTTGGAAGATACTGAGATATTCTGGAAGATGCTGAGACTCAGGGATTGATTTGCAATTCCGGAATAGACACACGGGAAAATTACACATATGGTCCTGGCGTGTTCTGTAAATAGTGCGCATGGTCCCTTAGCCTCCGAAAGTTATATTTCCTACAAAATTCAATAAAATTACATGAGTAGCAAATAAATTTACCAAAAATTCATCAAAATTTAGCAAATATCAAGCTTAAATTAGTAAAAATGCTCTATCTAAAATAGAGTTATCAATCTTGAGCTTCATTAAGAGTGTTTTCCTACACTTATCCTCTTAACTTTCCATGAGTACTAAAATTTTGTCCCAGTCCTCGATCACTGTTAAGATACAATTACTTGTACCCATTGAACTTTGACAAATTTGTTAGAAATTGTAAAGTTGGATTTCCATTGTACTTGATTATTATCAATTGGTCTAATACCCATTCCTTTGGCAATACTACTAATTAAACCTCTCGAGAGTCCCTTAGTGAATGGATCTATGAAGTTATTATTTGTCCGGACATAAATTACTAAAATAATTTCATGGTAATTAATTGTCCAACATACTCATGTCGCAAGCCAATGTCTAGATTTTCCATTGTTTTTCTTTACCGTATGTCTTGGACATTGTTGCCGCACTATTGCAATGTAAAGATATGACCACCATTGGTGTGGCCACAACTCTTTATCCAATAGTAAATTCTGTAGCCATTCAACCTCTTTATCGGCCGCCGATTGTGCTATAAATCAAGATCCATCATTGAATGAGCTATGCATGTTTGCTTCTTTGATGCCCAAGAGACTGTATCATTTGCAAACTTGAAAATTCATTCGGATGTCGACTTGTAATCAATTGTGCTAGTTATACAATTAGTATTTGAATATCCTTCTAGTTTTGCTAGTGGTCTTTTATAAAATAGACCATAATGATTCTGTCGAGAAGCAGCTTATCTTTTGCGAGCAATTCAGGCAAAGAAGGCACGTTTCCTTTCACGGCGGCTTCACCGAGCTCGGACTCCATGTTTGGATCTCTTTAAAGGGAAATTTCGAAATAATCACTCCTCCATTTGGAGACTTGAATGTACATTGTCACAACCAAGTCAACATTTAGGCTTGACGAAGACCGAAAAATGATCGGTAGATCTTTCTTATCTGCAATTATGTGGCTCGTTTACATTTAGATAAGGTGATGATTCCTGGAGCTTTACAGTGGTTACGTGGGGATTTGCCTGTCCGCCATTTTCTAGCGAGTCTCGTCTCCATTTGGTCCTATTTAGGTCAAGTTCGCACATGTAACATGTCCCGATTGAGCCATGGCGTCCCTTGATCATGTAAAGCAGCCACACTCTATTCATGATTTTTGTTATGGAATCCACTTCATTCGCACAAACAGGTATATTACTTTGAAAGGACACGTATTTCATTGATACGTGTGAAATAATTTTTGCACTAATGCTCGCCAAATCAGAACGAGCCGTAACCTAGGCACTCTCGGAGAAATTATTCTGTCATATGGCTGTGTTAGGAAAATAGTTACAGATGAGCAATAGTATCATTAGCACATTAGGAGTCGGTCTTCTCAACACGGTAATCCCAAGTGATTTCGAGTTTGCAAATAGTTTAAGCTCAATGTGGAGGCACCAGCCTTGCTATGCCTCTAAAATTCTACCGAAGAGAGTTGATCTTCATCTTCTTCCGTTAAAATTTCAAGGATCCAAGGATCATAAGTTTCTGATTGATTTGATCAGTCACGGAAGCCTAAATGGTACTAGCAGGGCAATGAATCTCATGGAACGTACACCCCTGCCACCACATGAATGGTTTTCTTAGGTGAAGAAGCCTGCAATGAATCACATGGAACGTACACCCCTGCCACCACTTGAATGGTTTTCTTACTTAGGTGAAGAAGCTTGCAATGAATCACATGGAACGTACACCCCTGCCACCACATGAATGGTTTTCTTACTTAGGTGAAGAAGCCTAGGACAATTCTGTACACAACTGCTTGGACAGATATCGTTCGCGGCTTTATAGACCTCATCAAACTTAGCAGCACAGATCGGTTATTGATATTTGAAATCTACTCACAACTGTTTCTTGGGGGAATCAAGAAGAAACCCACAATCTGTTCTTTAAATTTGTATTTTGTCAAATCGGATTTAAATTGGTTTGAAAGTCCTTGCCGTAGATTGCCCTGAAGGAAGCTACCATTCTCTCCTTGATCGTCGGTTCTCTCGCAATGCTTCATTGCGATGATGTTCTTCCCTTAAACCACGACCAGACAATTTCTCAACTATTGCAATGAAACAACAGCCTTCCCCGTAGAAAAGCAACTCTCTTTTAGAAAAGTTTTTGGCATGAAGTGGGTGACCATGAAACATCATATTCTGAGTTACTCGTTATAGTGACATGACATTACAAAAAAAATAAACATCTGCGCTATGCATCACCCTTATTCTTATCTGCAAATATGTGGCCTGGATCATCCAAAGGTCCTAGGATGTCAGGTAAGGGAACGATTTTGTGTGAGGATTCATAAACAGAGGCTGTTCCTTCATATGTTCAGTGGATTCAGTCGCAGATATGGCTTTTGCCCCACGTATGTCTTTCTGCGAGTGTTTGCGCACGTGTGTTAAAACTTAAGATTGGCCAATTTGAGCAGCAAGAATGTTGAGCATATGAATCGCCTGTATCATAATTGAAGATTTTTGAAGAATTATGTACTATGCATCTGTGTTAAAACATGACATTACAAAAAAAATAAACATCTGCGCCATGCATCACCGTTATTCTTATCTGCAAATATGTGGCCTGGATCATCCAAAGGTCCTAGGATGTCAGGTAAGGGAACGATTCTTCAAGTTTGTGTGAGGATTCATAAACAGAGGCTGTTCCTTCATATGTTCAGTGGATTCAGTCGCAGATATGGCTTTTGCCCCACGTATGTCTTTCTGCGAGTGTTTGCGCACGTGTGTTAAAACTTAAGATTGGCCAATTTGAGCAGCAAGAATGTTGAGCATATGAATCGCCTGTATCATAATTGAAGATTTTTGAAGAATTATGTACTAATATTAAACTCTTAATAGATAGACATAGTGTCATAGTCCCCGAAGCCTTC